TATATATAACATAACATATTAATTTCAGGTGTGATCCAACAAATGATGAGTTTATGGGAACAGAGTCAGAGTCAAACTGTAACATTATCCGGATCTGAAATCAGCAAATCAACAACTTATAGTCCAGAATCAGCAACAAAATCTAATTATGTTAAAAAACAGGTTTTTGAGGATTCCTATGATACGATAAATTGTGTTGATAAAACAAGTGATACTGGTAGTGGAGTTAGTGTTGTTGAGGATGGTGAACCTGTTGCTATAAAGTCTGATTTAAGTTCAGGTTGTAAGATAGGTGGCAATAATAGCCAGGTGGATGTGGATCGAATTAGAGAAAAGATCAAGAAAAGAAATTCTATAAAAACTATGAAAAGAAAATGTGTGGAAGAAGACATGGATGGTGATGAATGGATAGAAAGGGAATTGGAGGATGGAATTGTGTTGGAATCACCGATTCCGGGGAATTGAAGTTTGGTGGGATTGGGATTTTATCATTTTGTAAGTATTGTAACATGAATATTTAAAGTGAGAAGCAAAAAACAAAGATGGTAGAGATTTTTTTGAATAGGTTGATTAGATTTCATGGTCGGGTGGGTGTCACGAGACATATGGTCTACAATGATATGATATGTTGTGTATGAGTAATGAGTGAGAGTGAGTACCATTTTTTCATCATTTTTGCTTTCTTGCTTTTCTTTAAACACTTGTGATTCTTCTTTTAAATCCCATGAGTGTAAATTGGCCCAAAAAAGATACATCATACTTTACTTATCCAATCAACTTACACACGAAGCTTTTGCTTTCCTTTTTTTTTTTTTTTTTCAATTGCTTTTTACAACAAATGTGAAACTCGTAGACCAAACCCCAATAGATGTGGCTTCTCACAAATGAGTGAGCAAAGAAGCTTTCCTCCTTGTCGGGGCCCAAAAGCAAAATGTGTTTTATACCTCCTTTCTTATGTAGGACATACCTGATATAGTATAGATAGTCTTATACTGTGTTTGATATGCATTTTACTAATACTATGCGTTTGTTTGTTTTTCCTATTGTTATTTATCTTTTGTTTACAAAAAAGATAGTTTTGTTGTCAAAGAAGGATGTTTTTAAGACTTTTGAATAGTCTAATTTTATATGAGTGATTATGTATTTATGTGTGTATTCCATGATTTGACTATTTATATGAGTGAATGGTGTACATATAATAATGGAATATTATCTGAATGGATGTAGATTTTTATTAACTTTTATTATATTGTTTGATACCTTTTTATATGGAGATGCAAGAAAGGGAAAGTCAAAAGGTGAAATGCATTTTGTAAAATGTGAAAGAAGACCAAAAGATGTACTTGTAGGTTGATGTGGAAAGATTGATGTGTACTTTTTTTTTTAATGTTTATAGTACAAAATTTATGTGTTGGTGCTTTGTCTTCTTTTAAAACCGTTTAATATCGTAATAAATTTTGTGTTTTTACTTTTCATATTAAATGCAAAGCAAACAAACAAAATGCCATGATTCTTGCATTTGCTTATCGTGGCATGCCTGATATTAAAGTATCATTTTGAAAAAAATGGAGTTTGTTTTCACTAAGCTCGTTAAGGAAGATGTTTTAACTAAAAATATATAGAGAAAAAGACAAATATATTCACTTTGGCATATTATTTGATCTTTATTTATTATAGAACGTCTTGGTCCTCCTTTATTAAAACAGATAATAACAAAAAGACAAATTAAATATCTTTATATTTTTTCTTTTTATCTAATTTTTATTTATTAGATCAAAGCAAGTATCAAAATCAACAGAAGTGATTATAAAAAAAAGTTTAATGGGTTCAACATATCATAATTTCATATGAGTAAGAAAATAAATAAGAACAAAAAGTAAAATCATTATTTACTATGGATATGTTTACATTTAATGTTTTTTTTACACATTTTCTCATTTTTATACCATTTGTTTTTCAAAAGTATCTCTTAACCTAACACTATATTTTTCATTAATAAAATTATTTTGCAATACTTTTTAATAAAAATAGATTTCGCAATAATGTGAGCAATTTTACACACCAAACAATTTTACAATATATAAAGAGAATTTTGCAATATTTTTTTAGTTTCTTTTTTGAACACTTGATTTTTTTATAAAACTAACAAGGAGCTAGGCCATGAAATAACAACTATAAAGGAATTAAGGGAAAATGACATGCGAGGGTAATTACTTTTTCGTCTTGTTCACGTTTAGGTAATTTTATATTTTTAATACACATTTGACCATTTAACTTGTTATTGAAAAAAAATTATTGAAAAAAAAAACAAAACTGTTATTTTATAACAGTATACCATAGTGATTAGATTTGCTTATCTTTTTTCAAAGTAAAAATTATAGAATATTAAAAGTTATATCTTGTGTTTTAAGTTACCACTTGTCTAAGTATCAGCAGCACATATCCAAATGGAAAGGAGTTGTAAGCATCTTTTTACATGTATTTCACATGTCGGAGAATGGTCATGATGTGTATCTTAACATTTAATTAGTGAAAATTTTATATTTCTTCATGCCAAAGCATGAGAGAAAGTGACGTGGTGTTATTTTTAGTTTGACGACATCAAATACGAATTCCTTGAAATACTTACAAAGCTCCATATGGTGACCCCTTTGATTTGATATTAAATTAGTTGGTTATGAAATCTCATGCATACACATTTGGTTTGCAGATTCTTGTAGAATCTAAAGAAACTGGAACGTAGATTATATTATTTTATGCATTTAGATGTTAAATAGACGGAATTTGATTCTGATAGAACTTTTATCTCATTGATTTTATGTTTTTCGTAGGGATGATGAAATAAGGAACTCAATTATCCTTCCACTTCATTTGTATTACTATTTCTCGCCCATGATTTATACATCTTATTTGGATTCCACTTTTTATCTCTTACTTACCGATTAGGGTCAGGCTAATACATATTAATTAACATTTAGGATAGACCAAGATCACATTTTTTATTTCTATTTATATCATGTTAAATCCTGGTTATAATCAAGAAATCCATTATCTTTCATAATACCAAAGCCTTAGATTAAAATCTAGAGCTGACCATAACACACAATCGCCTCCATCCCCGACGACTTAATCTAATAGTTGTTGGAGGTACCTTCACTATGCTCATTATTGTTTCCTTTCTTCTTTTTCCTCATAAATAATAATATAGGCACCGACACCAAACCAAAACTTCTTCCTCGGTTTCTTCTACTTTCTCATATGCTTCTACATCCGTACCGGGACGACGACACAGATAATATTCATATATAAATAAGTATATTCATATATGAATAAATGTATTAATATAGGAACAATATGTTCATTTATGAATAACTATATTCACATATGAATAAGTATGTGTCTATTTACAAGTGATTATTCATATATGAATATGACGGTTGGTAGAGAAGATAGTAGTAGCGGTAGCAGGGGTAGCAGTGGCGGTGGCAGGGGTAGGAGTGGTGGTGGTTGCGATAGCGGGGGTAATGGTGGCAGACATGGTGGCGGTAGGGGTGGCAGAAGTGGTGGTGGCGGTGACGGTGGCGGTGGCAGTGGCGGTGGCGGTGTCCATGGGTAACAGAGTTGTTGGTGACGATAACAAATATTCATATACGAATAAGCATATACTTATTCATATAATCATATATGAAAAAGTATATTCATAT